CAAAAATAAATAAAAACATTAAAAAAAATTAAAAAAAAATCTTTGGGGCACCTGGGTGGCTCAATCAGTTAAGCCAACGACTCCTGATCTCAGCTTACGTCTTGATCTTGGGGTTGTGAGTTCTGGCCCTGCACCAGGCTCCATGCTGGGTGTCGAGCCTACTTAAAAACAAACAAACGAAAAAAAAAAACACAACTTAAAGAAAAGCTGGAGTGAAAAAAGGTTTTAATGACAGAATTAATACATGCACATGTTACAAAGAACGAAGGGCACGGAAGGGTACATAACGACAGCCTCCTACCCCACCTCGCCTCAGCCCTATTCCTCTCCCTAGAGAAAACCACTTTTAACTTTGTGAACTGTTTTCTTCTCGTGGTTATCTTCTTATCTCTGAACGTGCACCGTCATCATTGGGGTTCTCTGGGAAGCCAACTCTGAGATGGAGACTTGAAGGGGCACTAAGTCACGGTAGCAACAGAGAGCTCGGCCAATCCCACAGGGAGGTCTCAGGCTGGGACGACCTCTCCGGACGGTCTCCCGAATTGAGGCACCAGGCCCATCGTCTAGTCTTGGATGCCAACTCTTTCTAGAAAGGGGGTAAGAACTTGGCCAAGGCGGCTGCTCCTGCTGAGGACAATGCCCCGCCCGTGGAGAAGCTCAGCCGAGGGCCCTCAGGGGACACAACGCCAGCAGCTGGGGGGATGAGCAGTCCTCAAGGGGGAGCCTGGGCAGCACCACCTGGCACGACACAGTTCACCCCTTGCTGTGGAATAATTTCACCCTATCCTTAAACAACCATTTCAGGACTCTGCTTGATCTCTTTTCCCGGAGAAGCTTATAAATGGCAAGTTAGTGGGACAAATTGCGGTCCCACTCTACCGCAGTTCTGGGGCCCCATCTGGTAGTCATCTCCCTCCTTTGTTACCTGTATTCTGGATTGCTCCCAGCCTCGGCTAGCACTTCTGCTAACCTACGGGAAGACTTAGCTTGAGGAGTCTGAGCCCCAAGAGTCTGGTCGCCTGGCCTTTTCAGGCAGTGAACCTCTCCATTTTGTATGTATTCTCCTGTTCCCTGCAGCCTTGATTCCTCCTGATGATAAAGAGAGATTCCTTCTGCTGGGAGAGTGAATCGTTTTTTTTTTTTTTTTTTTTTTTTTTTTTGCCTCCCAGTCTCTTGGCCATGGTAGGGAACAGGTATAGCTTAGTTTAATGGAACTCTTGCTGGGTACCATGATGGAAGCATCCTGCTTCTGGAAACCATGGCCTCTAGAAACTCAGAGTCTAGAGTTACGGGGACAGGAAGCACGAATTCCCTGAATGGTTCACTGGGAGTAATGGTAAGCACAAATACTGTTATTTCCAACCCTTAGTTCCTGGATGCATGGATTCTACCTCCTGGGGACAAAGTACCAATGGATCCTATGGTCACGTGTCCATATACCTTTGTTATAAAGTAGGTCCCATTGGCGGCGCCTGGGTGGCTCAGTCGGTTAGGCGGCCGGCTTCAGCTCAGGTCATGATCTCATGATCCGTGAGTTCGAGCCCCCCGCATCGGGCTCTGTGTTGACAGCTCAGAGCCTGGAGCCTGCTTCCAGTTCTGTGTCTCCCTCTCTCTCTGCCCCTCTCCCACTCATGCTCTGTCTCTCTTTCTCTCAAAAGTGAATAAACGTTACAGAAATTAAAAAAAATAAATAAATCGAGTAGGTCCCATGGTCCCTAGTGATGCTACGCAGAATCTAATGCTGATGGATCTGCCAATATGCGAACTCGTGGATGGTGAGCTTTGCAGGCAAGAAAGTCAAATCCACGCCCAGAACATGTACCAACTCCTATGAAATGAATCAAGTCCTTTCCAGGTTTCGTCTGGAGGGGATCCAATGTAACTGGCCAAGAAGGGACTCCTTGGTTTCCTCTAGGGAGGGTACCACATAGGAGGCTCAGCATTGGACTGTTTCAGCAGCAACAAAATCTACACCAGCCTTGGTGGGGGCCCACACTGTTGTACCTAAGTACAGCCTTTACCGCTGCTGCCATAGCTATGTTTATAACTCCCAACGTTGCTGTTCTGGGATGGCCAAGGGCAGAGGCCACGGGTTAGCCAAGGCTAGCCAAGAGGCTAGCTGGCCAAGCCATTTTCTTCTACTTTGTGTGATAGTGCCCTTCCATGATGGATGTTCTCTGGTGGGTGTTATATGACACAAAGACCTTCACATTTTATGATCCCATGGGTCCATATACACGTGTCTTACTCCCTTGCCCCCAAGCTTCTAATCTTACTCTTTCTTGTCCCCTGACCAATAAATTAAGCCACTTTTCACTGTCCACGAATCTCTATATATTCTAATATACCAGGCCACTTCTCTCTCCACATGAAGTGGATGACCATGGACAGTGCCAGAAGTTCTGTCTTTTGGGAGGAT